TCCTCGGCCGCGGCCAGGCGCGCAGCGCGCAGCGGCTGGGCCGCTCAGCCCCTGGCTAGGGCTCCGCGTCTGGCGCCGGCGGCCCAGCCCTGCGCCTGCGTCGCCGCCAGGACGGCGTCGGCGGCGCTGCGCTTGAGGACGCACCCTAGCGACTGCTGCAGTTGCCGGATGGCCGCTGGCGCTCGGTGCCCCGCGCGGGCGCCAGCATTTGCGTCAGGGCCAGCGCCTCTTCGCCGAGGCGGCCATGGTCTTCCACCGCGGAGGGCACCACGTACACTGCAGGGTAGTTGACCCGCTTGCGCCGCGCCGCGGCTGCCGCAGCCGCGCCGTCGCGCCGCGCAGTGCCGAGCCCGAACGCGTCCTGCGTGAGCGCGCTCATCAGGGTCACGTCGACCATGAGCGGCCTGGCGAGGCGCGGGGTGTGGACGACGAGGTCCATCCGCGCCTCGGGGCTCTCTGGCGCTGCGTGGGGGAGCAGAACTTCCCTGAACACGGTGCGCCCTTTCTCCTCGCACCACCCTGCGAGTGCCGCGCAGCCCGCATCGTGGCGGCGGATCAGCCACCCGCCCGCGGCACAGTCGTGCGCGTGCCGCCCCTTGACGTCCAGCGGCGTGCCGCAAGTCCCGCCGTTGGGGTGCCATTGCTGGCACAGCCTCGGGCGTCTTGGTCCCGCTGCGCCCGCCGCCAGCGGGGGGCTTGTGCAGCCCAGCAGGTCCAGGTGCAGCCGGAAGCGCAGCGCACTGTCGTCTGGGCGTTGGTCAAGCACTGGCAAGGCAGCTCGGGAACTGCAGGAGGGAGCTCGCTCCTGGGCCCCCCGCAGAACGCAGGGCGATCGCCGCCAGGGTGTCCGCGGCCACTTCGGTGGCGGCGAGGCGGGCAGCCGCAGCGAGGGGGGCCGTGGGGCCAGAGCGTGCTGCGTTGCTGTCAGTGCCTCGTCATTCGCGTGGGCGGCGCCATCGTCCGACTAGTGCGGCCCAGCGCTTCGCCGTGGCCGCTGGCAGGTTGAGGCGCGCCCGAAGGCTCACCGCCGTCAGGGCGCTGGCGCTCTCCAGGCCCTGCTCGTGCTCCGCGGACAGCGCCCGGTTTCGGGCTCGCGCCTTCCCGCTCGGGATGCCGCGCGCGCGGGCCAGGAAGGTGCAGTCGTAGTCCGTCCTCGCGCACCCGAGGGCCGCCGCCGCCTGCTTGTCCAAGCCTGCCGCGCGGAGGTCGCCGAGCCTCTGGTGCCGCCTCCCGTGGGCCGTCTGCGGCGCAGCTGCCTCGGGGCTGCCCTCGGCGAGTGGGCTCCCTTCGGCCGGCGCAGCGGCGGGGGCCGCCAGGACCGCCGGCAGCGCGCCGCGGCGGGGCACCGAGGCCCCCGGCTCGCGCCGCCCAGGGAGTGCCGCGACGTCGACCTCACGACGTGGGCTCGGCGGCTCGGCTGCGGCTCGGTCGGCTTGCCGCGGAGGCGGGCGGCGGCGCAGGCCCGGGGCGACGGCCTCTTCGGCGGCCTCGGCGCTGCTGGAGCCACTGCTGGCTTCCAGGTCGTCCTGTCAGCGGTGCCTCGCGCCCGCTGTCGCGGTGGCCGCGGCCCTGCTCCACGTCGGCGTCGATGCCGAGGTAGCACAGGGCGAGCACGTGGTTGGCGAGTGCGTCCCCCTAGTCCCCGCCGCGCTCCTGCGGGAGCCGGGTCTGCGTGCCGTCGCGTGCCACGCCGCACGTGCGCGGCCGCCGCGCAGAGGCCCAGGCGCGCCCAGGGCAGCAAGCCGGGGACCATCACGCCTGAGGGAACCCCCAATCCGTGGATGGCTTGGGAATTACTGATGTGGATATTGAGATCGATTGTGAGAGCGATCGTGCGATCGACAGTGGGGTCTATAGTGAGGACGATTGGACGGTCAATCGTGAGACCGATGGTGAAGTCGATTCAGTGAGTTGTGAGATCGGTCGTGCGATCTATAGTGAGATCAATAGTGAGATCGACCGCGAGATCGATTGCAAAGTCGATCGTGAGATCGATAGAGAGGTGGGTAATGAGATCGACGGTGAAACCTATCGATGAGGAGATATCGACCAGGAGCCCGGGAACCCGGGAACCCTGCCGCCTACCGAAATCGGCCCAGACCCAACAACCGGGATGCCAGAACGGGGAACCTGGGAAGCTAGCGGCCTATCGAAATCGGCCACCCATTTTCGCCAAATCCTTCAGGGTCCGCTAAGCCCCCTTCAGTGCAAGCACTGCTTGGCGAAAAATCGGCACCGCTGTCGCCACAGCCCTCGGGTCAAGCTCGTTGTGGGCGTTGCTCGCGTCTAGGCTGACATTGCAGGGGCGTGGCCGGCTGTCCAGGTCGAGGAGGGCTGCCCTGCGCCTGCGTTCAGCCCCCCAGGCGCTCCAGACTGAACACTCGCTCTGCCCGAGCGCCGCGGCCACCCTGCCAGTGAACATCCCGCTGACGGCCTCGGAGGCGGCCTGCCTGTGGACCTTTCCCAGCGCACGGGGTCGCACCTGGTTCTGCTCCTCTGGGTCCCCCGCGAAGCTCCTCGTAGACAGCCAGGGCCCACGCACCTCTCCCAGGGGCCTGGCCGAGCTGCCCCCGCAGGGACTCGCTCGGAGCTCTCCCACGCAGCAGCGTGGGGAGGCAGGCATCCACGCCCAGTGCTCGCTCTTCGTGCCGCTAGGCCCTGCTCCCCGCTTCCGCGGCGCGTATGTGTAGACTTTCCGGAGCTCCTCGAAGAAACGTTCCGCGTCCTCTTCCTCCAGACCCGCCGCCGGCAGGGCTGGCTGCGAGGCCGCCCGCGGGAAGCGGCTCGGGAGGCACCGCCTGGCTTTGCTGTCCGAGGCCATCTGAGCGACGAAGGAAAACGGGGTTGTCTTCACCGACATTGGCGCGTAAGCTGCCCGCGTAAGCTCGCGCGTAAGCGCCCTCGGCTCCAATGAAGCGTGCTGCGCTGGCGGCCCGCGTAAGCCGCCGCGTAAGGTCGCTGTGTCATCTCGCGTGAGACCCATTTTTGATCGTCGCTCACGTGGAGCCGCGATAATGACCAGGAGGAGAATGAGGAGGACTGGGAGGAGGAGGAGGAGGAGGAGGAGGAGGAGGAGGAGGAGGAGGAGGAGGAGGAGGAGGAGGAGGAGGAGGAGGAGGAGGGGAGGAGAGGAGGAGGAGGGAGAAGGAGGAGGAGGAGGAGGAGGAGGAGGAGGAGGAGGAGGAGGGGCGTCCACGACCCGACCTGTGTCTCCTGGACGTCTTTTTCCGCCAAGGCCTCTTCGATGCTTTGGCTGCCCCCGTCCAGCTGCTGGGCCGATCGATTGGGCGCCGGGGAGCTGGGTCCTCCAGCCGAGGCCTCGGCCTCTGGCCACAGGATGTCCGAGGCTTAGCCACCCGCAGAAGGGTCGATTAACCTTCCGACTGAGCTTGCCCAATCCCGCCCCCCTCCATCCTCCTCCCCCTCATCCTTCTCCTCCTCTGCCTCCAAACCTCCCTCCACCCGTTCCGACAGCACGTGCCCAACCCCCCCGGCGGATTCAAGGGGGGGGACGATCATTGCCCCATCCAGAATAGGGGGGGGATGTCTCCTTAGAAGCGCCCTGCTTCCTAGAAGGCGCGGGCCTGATCTGTAGATGCAAGGCCCGCGCCTGCTAAGAAGCAGTCTCCTGCCAAGAAACCTTCCCCCCTCCCCAAACCCCTTTGTGCGCGCCTCCGAAAGGAGTCCTCCCGAGCCAGCTGGATGCGCCTCGACAGGGTTTGGGCCAGGGCCTCGCCCCTATGGCCCCTATGGCCCCTCCTCGCCGTCTGCGTGCGGCGGCGAGCAGTAGACAGTCTGAGAAGAAGATCGCCTTCCAGAGCCACCCGTGCTCTTGTTCGGCCACGCGCAGACGGGGGTAGGGGGATGGGGGAAGGCTTCTTAAAAGCACCCTTGCTTCTAAGAAGCCTTCCCTCCTCCCCCTTCCCCCCCTCTTCGCGCCGCCACCTCTTGCTCCCCAGTGGCCCCGATCATGGCGTCACATAGGGCCTTACCCAGGTCGGCCACCGCGTATCGGACTGCTTCGGGGACCGCGCGAACAGTGCGCTCTGGGTCATGCAGGCGATCCCAGGGAAGCACGTCCCATAATTCCAGGCGCTGCAACTCCTCGTGCTGCACCGCCTCGTTCCTCCGGGCCACCTGCCTGCTCGCCTGCCCCGCCGCCGTCTTCACCCCCGCCTCTGGAGCGGCCCCAGCGGGGGGCCCAGCCACGGCGGCAGCCCCGAACGCGGCCTGCGCCTCAGCCTGCGGCCTCCGCGCGCATGTTGCCCCAGCCTATCAGTTGCTCAACTGGGCCGCTCTGGGACGCGGTGCAGCCGACGTGGTGCATGCGAGCGCCCGGCCCTCCCTGGCGAGCACGCGGCGCCCTGGCCGGGATCTCCTTCAGGCGGCTGGCGCATATCGTCAGGGTGCGCGAGGAAGGGGCAGAGATCGCCCACGCCCCATCTCCCGCGGAAGCTTCGTCGCCCTCGCCCATGCGCCGCCTGCGCAGCGCCGCCGCCGCGTCGACCTCCACCCCTGCTGCAGCCAGCGTGGCGCCAGGGCCCCCGCCGACGCAGGGCTCACGTCGATCTCCCTCTCGTAAGTCGTCGAGTGCCGGCGGGGCCGCCGCCGGCGGCGGCCAGCGCAGCCGCCGCGGCAGGGGCCGGGGCCATTGCGCGGCCGCCAGGGCCGCCCTGTAGGGGAGGGGGGGAAGCGAACGGAGTGAACGGGCGAGGAGCTGCGGGAGCTTGGCCTCCTCTTCCTCCTCCTCCTCCTCCTCCTGCTCCTCCTCTCCTTTGTACGCAGCCCCCTCTTCCGATTTCACATAACTCGATTGGGTCTTTTTTGGAGTTCCAGGTCGGCAATGGCATTTTTCCTCAGATAGACAGAAACATCGGTGCAGTGGGAAAGGATGGAAGTGAGGAGTAGGATCTCAGACATGGCGCGAGCGCAGCTAGTTTGCTCTCCCCCCTCGCCCTTCCCCCTTCGCGTCCACCTTGCGGCCCCCCCTTCCGCCCCAG